TGGATTTCGTTAACCAATGTCACCATAAAAAAAAAATTAAAAAAATAAACCTAAAAAAATAAAAATAAATAAACTTATTCTCTAATTTCTAAATATCATTTCACAATTGGTTCCAGCCCTCTACCTAATGATCTGTAAAGATGGTTCTTGTCCCTCTATCCATCTACCTCTGGGTTAGCTGGACAAATAACATGATAATGTTTAGATGGCCAAATCCACATTTAATATATCTGAAGATTTAGCATTAACATAATACTCTGTATCTTAACATATTTTAAACTTAGTAATTTAAACAGAGTCCCCAAGGCTGTGGCCTTGTCTTGTTGATGCCACTAGTTAGGTTACACAGCTAATTCCGTCAGAGCCACTGAACCAAGTGTTAGTGTGTGTGAAGAGTCCATGAGTCAATTGCCAGCACAGAATTCTTCCTGACATAGGAAGGCAAATGATCTCAACTTTTGAGTGCAAACAGTGCAAATTTCTAGTTGAATGGTTCCTGACAGTAGTGTCCTCTGAAACATAATGGTTGGCCAGGAGCCAGTGATTATGCCACCATACAAATCACTGTGCATCTGATGCCAGAACGCCTCTGTGCAATGGTAATAACAAGACTTCTCAGTCCTGGTGTTCCGCAAGATGTTGCATTGGCTCTTTTATTCTTTATCAGACCCTGGAATTCAAGATTTTATTTAGATCATTTTCAGGAAATAAGTGTTGGTAGAGGGAGAGGAAAAGAGAAGAGAGGAGATTTTTAGTGTAGTTTAAGAAATAACTTCACTATTTTACGATTCCTATCAGGACAAAATCAGCGTATGTTTTGAAATCCAGTTTTATTAATTGTTTAATAGATATTTTCACTTTAAATCTCCTGTTTAATTATAGAACTAAAACAGCTTGGTTCAAACTGTTAGCTAATGATCCATATATCATTTTAGTAATTGCTAGCTTCTTTCGGAAATGCGTTTGTTTTAAAAGAATTATAGACTTTCAAGTGTGAAAACAGGACATTTTTTAAGATTAATGAATTAGAACACACATTTTTTCAAATGTTATTTTACTGTAACGTATTTTAAACTTAAAATAGTAGAACATTCTTAAGATATTATAAACTTTCGTTTTAATTTGCCTTTAATTTTGTTTAGGGTTAAAAGTAGATGGATCATACTGTATAAATGCAATTGGCGATGTAAATGAAATCTAAGTTATGCAGTGTTTTATTCAAAAGGAAATATGCACCGGTTAAAATATTTAGCCAAATTGCATCTCTAACTTTGCAACTGTCTGCTGATTTTAAATTCCAGCTTTTTCTGGAAATAACTCTTCAGAGCATTTGCACATTAAACAAGTAGATCTAAGCATCTTATTTGATAGAAATAGTAATTGTTCAAGAGGAAGGAACACACAGTACCCTAAATATTACTCATAACAAGCAATATGTAAAAACATTAAAGGAAATATTTTTCCCAATGAAGCTAAGTTGCCAGTGTTTCTTCTTTTTGGTTGTTTTTCATGTAGTAAAACATTTTCTTTTCTTATTAGCTAGATATAGGTATTAGCCTCTTATAAAAATTGTTGTTTCTTTCAACTATGGCCAGCAAATCCAAGAAAAAAAAAAAAAGACAACTGAAAAGGTTTCTTGTGGTTTAAAAATGCCTTCCAAATATTCATTAAACATTTAAGTGAGTAAATTTGTAGAATATGTTTCTGACATTGGCACTGGTTCTGTGGTATTTCTCTGATCAGATGGAAATGCTGTGTGTTATGCAGAGTGCATTCAGTTCATTCATGCATAAACAATATCATTTTCATAAATTAAAACCTCCCCTGCAGAAGGAACATCTGTGCTTCCCTTTGAATAAAAGATGGTGGCATGTGAGTTACTCCTTAACTCACTGAAAGAATCTTTATGATTTAGAATGAAGTTATACAGGCAAATGGAAAATTAAAAAATAAAAATAAAAAAAATAAAAAACTAGCAGTCTTCATTTCTACCTTACAAAAAACAAAAAAACAAAACAAAACAAAAAACCCCCACAGTATAGATTTGGCTGCTTGATGTCTTAAAAGCTGGATTCTTTTAATTCTTAAAATGTCATTCTCTTATTATTTCTTCTGTTCACTACAGCAACAGTGTTTAGTTTACATGAAGATGTCTAATTTTAACTACGGGTGAAATTGAGTTGCTGAACAGATCATATCAGATCTGAATGTTCACTTCGTGGTCTCCTAGGCTGAGAGGATGGCAGTGTTCTGATACCATATCAATACATATCTCTTAAAGTAAGAACAGCGAGAGCAATCTTGGATGGAGGAAGCAACAGCTTGATTCCAAAACAACTCTGATTCACTTGGAATGAGATTATTGCATTTTGGATAAAATTGGAACTAACTTAAAGCATTTCTGTCATGTGATGAAGGCTGATGGAAAACATGCTAAAATAATATATTTTAAATTGCACTCAAACATTCTCTTAATGTTGAAATATTCCTTACTGCTACTGTCACAGCTTGACGTAGCCCCATTGGCAATGTTATTAGTATGGCTAATTGTTCCCATCCATTATATTACTCACATTTTTTTTGGAGCAGCTTGCTAAATGAGGTCAGCTTTCTGGAACCCCTAAATCACCAATGAGAAGGAGATTAAAGGAACAAGCTTGGGAAGAGAGGTAGTCGTCCAATGTGGCATCCAAATCAGAAGAACAATGGAGTTACTAATGACAATAATCAGAGCTCCACAGTAGAGCCAGGGCACAAGTGCCAAAATGTTATTCCCTAGGAATCTTTCCTGTCAGTCAACAAACACATCCAGAGGAAGAGAAATGCCAAACTTTTTTTTAGTGGACTTAACAGTGGACAGAATCATCTGTAAGTTTTTCCAGTGAGTTTTGTTTATGAAACAACACGATAGTGCTCCAAAGGGGAGGAGGAAAACAATTATACCTTCCCAAAATATATTGTAGTACAAATAGTATGTTCTTGAGTACAGGCAATTTACTACTTTTTTTTTTCTTGGAAAAGTTATTAAAATCATCACAAGATGTTTATAGAACAATTATAAAATGCCACGCCTCAGATTCTTTAAATAATTAAATCATTTTCTCCTGGCATTTTTCTAGAGGTATGTGTTTCTTTTGAAGATAATGTTGGTTTGCAATAGAGAACATTGAGCTCAGGAAAATGTACAGATAACAAAGCATCAAGAAAATGATAAATTTTTAATACATATTTTTGAATATGTAGGCAAACTAAACTAGGGTACTTGTTTGTGCCTTACTTGTTAATAATTAACTAAATCACCCTTTTTAAAAAAATAGAAGAAAACAAATAATATAATAATTTAGAATTACTAAAAAGCTAAAGGTGAAGATATTTAAAGCAAAGAAAAACAAAAACACAACTGTTTGTCTCTCCACAACCCTTAACCCCAACACACACACACACATATACACACACGCACACACCCTCATTCATATTCCAAGTAATGAAATATCAGTTAGGTCCATTCATTATCTACAAATTGTTCCCTTAGCAAGATAAACAGACTAAAGAGTATGCTAAAGTAAACTTTTCTCTTTAATTTTCTTCTACAAATAGTGTTTAGTATTTTTTTAACTCAGCAAATAAAACAACTATTACACTTAGGAATTATTTATACTAAAAAAAAATCACTTTAAGAAGAAATGCAAAATTGCTTAAGATTTTTAATACTATTTTATTGCAACTGAATGAGTGTTTTCTAAATTGTGCATTACACCATAATATACAGGATTACAAACAAAATTACAGTACAGATCGATTCCAGTGGTACCAGTATCACATCTCAAACAGCACTTATTCTGAACTGCATTTTACATGCAATAGCTATTGTTCTAATTATGAATTAAATGGTTTGAATTTATTTAAGCTACTGTACTAATTGACTACAATAGGTATAAGTCCCAACATTAACAACCTGATTAGATTTAGGCTCAGATTCATTACATGAATATATGACAAACCACCATTTGTGTGACTATGTATAAAATCATGCGTTTACATTTTCTGGAAACATCAATATCTTCAGATTCTCTGTAAAATCATGGAATGCAAAGGAGTAAAAGACTAAAAATAAACAGTGCAAATTGTATGTGATAGTCAAGCAGCTTTTGATTTAAAGAAGGGTATGTTGGCATTTGTTTATAATATGTATATACAAGCTTGTGCAAGTAATGGATTGATATGTTTTGATAGGGAATACATCTCTTGTCTTTTTTTTCTTTCATCCTCTTGACAGTTATGGAACTGGTTTTCATTTTAAGGAAAGAGAAAGACTTTAAAGTGAAATGAATTGCTCAAATTGTGCAATTTTTTTTAACAATTAGGAAAGAAGTGCTAAGGCAACACAATAACTTTCTAAGCACTTTTCTGCTGGTTTAAATTAGTTAAATTATTTTGTATAAATTAGATATAATTCTACTTTTCTGATATGTATAAAAATTGATGAAGCTGCATGGTTTTAAAATAGGAAATCCACATTATAAAAAGTCATTAAAAATTCTGTACAAAATCACAACAAAATAATTCAGCATGGGAAAGGTAACAAGTAGTAAAATGCTGGTTGAAAAATATATATTTATATATATTTCAATTGGCCCATTACTAGTTTAAAAATTGCATAGATCCTAATTATTGCTTGTAATTTTGTTATCCCCATCAGATAATTAATATGATCTGAATACAGCTACACCAAATTTGTGGTGCATTTTTTTAACTTTATTGTATTACTTTTTTTTTTTTTTAAAATAGAAGAGCTATAGAAAATAATACATAAGGTGAACAGGAACTTTGATCCCCTGTTTCTTCCAAAGGCAGTAACAACAATAAATACATATATCACTTGAAGCTTGGAGTATTTGCACTTTGCAGCAGTAGTACCCAAAGGGCTGCCTTTTGTAAACACGACAGTCACTGTAAGTACAGTGGGTTTGTTTCCCGGGGATGGTGAAACTGACGGGCCTCTAATCGTGAAAGATGGCATTGAGTTGGGCACTCATGACTCGCTCATGATGTGAATGGCTATCGAAGGACATAATATTGTCTATAGGGATCTCGCAGCGAGGGGCAGCAGCTCCCGAGAAGATCGATCCGTGACTTTGGGCCCCAGCCAGAGTCGCTGCGGGATAGTGCATGGTAAAGGCATAATTTTTCTCAAACTCGGTGGATGGTTCGTGTTTGAAAGAGAAGTTGCCGTTGATGCTGAGCGGCGGGCTGAGGGGTCCGTCAAAGGAAGGGCTGGTGCAATCAGTCAGGGGGCTTTCAAAGAAGGGCTCTAGCGCCGCGCTGTAGGCGTGAGGCGGCGGCTTTACGTGGAAGACGTGAGAGCTGTCCATGGTACCGTACGGAGGGCTGGGCAAACCCGGAGACTGGTAGGAGTAGGAGTGAACAGGGAAGGAAGCGCTGGCCGCCGGCAGGTGCGGGGGCATGTCCTGGTTCTGCTCCGGCAGGAAAGTTCGAGGATTGAGCTGCAGACAGCCCGCAACCAAGTTGGTGGTGGGCTGAGATAAGCCCTTGCAGAGCGTCTGTACGAAGGAAACCAGATCAGGGCTTTTGCCCGAACGCAGGATCTCCGACAGAGCCCAGATGTAGTTCTTGGCCAAACGCAGCGTCTCAATTTTGGACAGCTTCTGAGTCTTGGAGTAGCAGGGCACCACCTTGCGCAGGTTGTCCAGCGCCGCGTTCAGCCCGTGCATGCGGTTCCGCTCCCGGGCGTTGGCCTTCATGCGCCTCAGCTTAAAACGCTCCAGGCGCGCCTTGGTCATCTTCTTCTTTTTGGGGCCGCGTCTCTTGGGCTTCTGATCATCGTCCTCCTCTTCCTCCTCTTCTTCCTCCTCCAGATCCTCGTCTTCGTCCCCCTCTTCTCCGTTCCTCAGTGAGTCTTCTTCAGCGTTCATAGTTTCCAGGTCGTCTTCCTTCTTTTCTGCCTCGTGTTCCTCGTCCTGAGAACTGAGACACTCGTCTGTCCAGCTTGGAGGCCCCTGGGGTTGAGGCTCGCTCATCAGCCCGCTCTCGCTGTATGATTTGGTCATGTTTCGGTTTCCTACAAGCATCGGGGGAGAGAGGAAAACAGAAAGGAGAAAAAACGCTGCATTCAAAAACTACACGTGCCCTCAGTTCCCACTTCCTAACCCTGTAGACGTGCACCTGAAGAGAAGTACCAGCTCATTACAAAATGGATGCCTCTAAGGAAAAGTTAAATGCAGTGTTTTATAATGACGTGTGCGTGCCCCGCTGGTACGTAGGAAACAGGACAGAGCTGGGGGTGCGAGAGAGTGACTGTGTGTCTACCTACACTCATGTATGTATGTTTCCCAGTGACTAACTTAAGTGTGTTTATGGTGGCCACCCAATAGGATAATATATATGAAAATGAGTGTACATTTTTCTGACTTCATGCTTATCTGCAAGAGTTCAAAGTCACTCACAACTCCACAAAAATAATGAGTTTGAAAATTGCAATCCTGTTCCCATCTCTGTCCTGGCTTCTCAGTGCTTAGCGATTAAAGTTGAAGAGCCATTACGTAATTTACCAACGCTGGCGGTGATTTTTAAGAAGATTATACTAACCGGAGATTGAAGAGCAAATGCATGATGGAGGAAAAGTACTTTCCACTAAATTATTTCATCATCAACGAAACGTTTGGCAACAAAAGTGTGCAGGGATCTTCCATCCCACCCTCGCCTTCCCTTTATCGCCTTCCACCCCTGGTCCTTTGCTGAATTTCCACCTTGTATAAAAGCGCTGGCCAGGACTGGGGGCACTGCGCCGCGCTCTCTTCCACGCGCCGGGGATCAGGTGCGGAAGGCTCCTTTCTAATAAACAGCCCATTGAAAAGGCCACCCGCTCTTTATTGGGGCTTTTCAAAGTTCGCCTCAAACCTCCCTTTAAAAGAGTAATTATAATGGTCAGCAATTGGCAACGGCGAAGTTGACGCTTCTAATAAGGGAAATAAAAAACCTTTAGTGAGACAACTGGATTTCTGGCTCCTGCGGTGGTTGCTGGGGACTTGGTCGCCTCTGGAGCTGTAACAGGTAGCAGGAGTGGGTCACTCTCCCTTTCTTCCTTTTCTCCACCCCCACTCCCACTAAACTATCTCTCAACCTGATTTATTTTACAGTGTGTTTATACTCAAGGTATCAATGTCCCTTTAATTCACTGAAAAATTAACTTGGCACTTCCAATGTGCATAACATGCACGCACAGAAAATAAATTATGGTAACAAGGGCTTTTTTTATTTTTTATTTTCTGGAAGAATCGAGAAAGTGAAGTGGTTGTTTTCAAGACTTTGAAATCACCACTAACAAATATCACAGAGTTATTGTGCATTATTTAAAAATCCAAAGATGCTTCTATACTCCTCCAAAACAAACAAAAATTAAAACAATTTAAACGATTAGAAAGCCTATAGTAGGTATTTGAGTGATACGAGTCAAAGTATGTGCATTCTTGCCTGTAATTATGGGGAATGCCCGTCTCAACACACACACGCGCGCGCGCACACGTACACACACTCACAAACGCACACCTACAGAATATGTAGGGATATCGGGTCTTCGATTACTGCTTTTATTCCCGAGGAAAAATGAAAGGATTGTAATTACCTGTAGTTGTTAGTAGGTCCTGAGCAGTGATAGTCTCATAACCCTGGGGCCTCCTGACGCCGTGCCTTCTGAGTGAGACGAATTCCTCGTGTACCCGCAGCGCGGGCGCTCAGGTTATATAGCCGAGTTGGTGATGCTGAGCGCGGGCGGGGCCGAGAGCGGAGCGACAAGCAGGTCCCTGCACCCGGCGCCTGCGCACGCGTCCAGGCTGTGCGCTCTCCGCCGCCTCCCCCCTCTTTTCTGCCCCTACAGCCTTGCTCCTCTCCCACCCTCCTCCAGCTCAAGCTACCCTCCCCCCCACCCCAACCCCCCGCCCCTTCTCCATCCTCCCCGGCATGCGCCATATGGTCCTCCCAGTCCGGCCAAGAGCCGAGTACCACGTGACCTGCCCATTTGTATGCCGCGGAGCGCTCCATTCCGGCCCCTTTGTGGCCAGAAGAAAGTGGCCCATCTGTCGCCAGTTAGAGACTCCGCGGACCTGTTTTTACCCGCAGGAGAGATTAACCCTTTCAGGCGGCAGAATGGAAAGGGGGCGTTGGGGGAAGTGGGTAGAGGGAAGGGATTTGAGGGAAAGAAGCGGGAAAACTAACATTGATTGGGTTTAGATCAGAGTGAGAAGCCAGAGTCCGCGCGGGAAGTAGGGCAGAGGTCAAAGAGGCAGAAACGCGGAGTCTGGGGCAAACAGTGAAGCGTACTGACTCCTTTCGATTCCTCGCCCAGGCACTGCCCTTTTGGGCACCAGGACTCTCTGAGGTGCCCATTTCTTGGTTTCCACTTCTTGCCAGACGCTTGGCTTATTGGCGCCAAGGGGTGGTTCGCCTAATCTCCATCAGCCCCTTAAGCAAACGTATGCGACATATAAAACGATTTCATCTGTAAACGCAGCTTCGAGACTAGTCCTCTAACCCACTTAACTCCCAGCCCCTCCGGTATAGAAATTTGTACCTGTCATTTTACCCCACCTGGTGTGCCCTGACTCTCAGCTACCTCTGTCCCCGGACACCCCTTACTATGCCAGGCCACCCTTCCCCCAGAGGTCCTTGTCCTCAGAGAGAGCTAGTCCTTTCGCTCAGGCTTTCGTTCAGTTGGCCTCTGAGCCCTCTTGCGTGAAAGCTGGGGGATTTCTCTGACGCTTGGATTCTGCCTTTTAACTAAAGCCATTGTATTGTTGAAAAGGGTGCTCTCACCTAGACGTTCCAGGTTCCCTGCCACAGGCTTCCTGAGTCTTCATTCTTGATCCCGTTAATAAGTACTTGGTTCAGACAAGACTGCTCAAAACAAGGATGTAAAGAGCCTGTGCTAAATGGGTCTGTTTCACTGCTCTCTACAGAAAGACCATTACTACAACTCTGGGGAGGGCTGATGGCCATGACCCTCCAGATCTCAAGGACTGACTTGACAGGACCTCCACCATGAGGTCCCTCAAAGACCACAGAACTTCCCGACTAATTTGTGTTTAAATGTTGATTCTTTACTCACTCATTCCCACCAAGGCATGTTACAGAATGATACATTAATAAAAGAAGTTGTCCTGATCCCTTCCCTGTCCACTTCTTTTCCAGCTTCACATCTAATCTTCTGTTAACTAACCCTTTATCCCCCTCCCAGACCCGTAGCCCCTTGCAATGAATGCATTGAACTTGGATGCTTATTTAAAGGCAATCGCTCTAAAAGCCCCTTTAGTTTGCAAACAGTGTCAGGGTTCAGCGGCTGGAGCTGGGTGCATCTGGGAACCCGAGGCAGGATGCGGGAGAGAGAAAGAGAGTACTAACGAGATCGCTGTGTCTGGAAGGCGGTTGATGGAGCCTCCCCCAATCCAGAGCTAAATTGAAAGGGGAATAAAGGGGTGTTCGACTCGAGCCGTTGCCCAAAGCGTGGGCTGAAATGGGCTGAGTTGCCCGAGCAAACTGTATGGAGTTTGCCTTTCTGAGTTCGTTCGTCGGTGTATAAAGAGTACAAGAAGATAAAAGAAATCACCCAAGAGCCTAGTACCGTATTTACCTCTGTACCGTCTGTATCTTTAGTGGTGGGTTAAAACTTGAGGGGCATTGGGTTAATAGCCTGCAGAGGCCGGTTCACAACTCGGCTGTCCTAGGACATTTGAGTCAGGGTAGGACAAAATGCTGCCTGCTCTCCCAGCAGCTGCCCCAAGGGGGGCGGGGCGCGGAGGGGGAGATGTGGAACTCGTGCCCTGGCTCTCATTTCTCAATTTTAGGGGAGAGGAGCTTCCAAGGAGAAATTGGGAGTGGAGTGGAAGCGGGCTCCACTTGCCTCGGAGGCCCAAGGGTGGCTTAGTGGACACACTCCACTGCCAGAAGAAACTTCCCATTTGCAATATCCTGGAATACAGGAAAGTCTTGGTGGATCCAGATGTTCCCGGGCTGGGAAGGAAACCTGGTGTTTCATCAGTCGAGACTCTAAATGTGGAAAGTGCGGGAATTATACCGTCCTGATAACTTTACCCTAATCCCGTTTCCCGTTGTTCGCCAAGGCCTGCGGAATTGTTCCAGAAACCTGGCGAGGTTCGGTCTCCCAGCCGGCGGCGCTCAGGTGCCTACCCGCCTCCGCGTAGGGAACGTCTACCACCCAACGCTGGCCTCGAGGCCCGCCGGACCCATGGGAGGCTGCAGCCAGGTAGTCAGGCCCGAAAGGAAGGAGACCAGATAAGATTTAAATTGAGGTGCCTTTTGTTGGGAGGCGAGAGGGCGAAACAATGGGACTAGTGGACAGTGGCGGCCGGAATGCTGGGAGAGGACAGCTCCAGAGCCGCGGGTCTCGATCCAGGCCGGTCGCCGCGGCCTCGCCCCGCCTCCTTATATTCTTCACTCTTTTTGAACTTTGTTTCGACGGTTGCACACTCTCCCCCCTCCCGATCCCCTAAATTCTCTCCCTCTTCCTCTGCCCCCGCTGCCCGTTATTGGTCCCAGTTCTCCAGCTCGGGTCCCCACTGGGCGCTGCAGGCTGCTGAGCGGCACGCGAACCGCACGCGCGGGCAACAAAAGCCGCTTTCATGACTCACTGCCCTCGAGCAATGCCCCAAATCTGTCGCCCCCCGGGTCCCCGCTCCAAGCACGCGGCGCGGGCTGGGCGGTCGCGGCCGTTAGAGCGGCAGCCGGAGTGCCGGCGGGAAGGGGGGCGGTAGGAAGCGTGTGGCCGGGGGTGAGGAGGGGGAGTCTGGACAGGGAAAATGGGGGTAAGGAGGCGTGTAGCAGTGTGTGTGTGTGTGTGTGGGGGGATAATGAAGAGGGGATGGAGGCGCGTGGCCAGGACGTATGAGGTGGGAAGCGTGTAGCTGGCGGGGGAGCAGGGGTGCGACGCATTCACAGGACCAAGATAAAGAGCGGGGGCCGGGCCTGCGTCCCCGGCGGTGACCTGTTTCTCGGAGAAACAGATGCTCACTCTTGCAAAGGGAGGTTTGCGTTTAAT